TTCAAATTGCTGATGAATATATTATTCACAAAACTATCATCATCTCATTTTATGATGCGCCGTCGTTCACTAAAAAATTACGTCTGTTAAAAGTAAAACTAAACAAATATTGTACAAAAAGTTTGCTAAGTTTCACTCCTGTGCTGATGAAGTACACTATAAGAATGTAGCATCTGAGTTTGAGAAACAATGTGCGAGTACCAAAGCTTCCTACTTTTCTCGACTTTCGAATGAGGTCAAAAATTCATCAAAAAAATGGTGGTCAACTGTGAAGTATGCCGTAGGTAAACTAAACAAAATTCTACTCTATCACTTCTAAATCCTCTGACTGGCAGTCTAGTTAATCACCTCCAGGATAACGCTGAAGTATTAAATCAGCATTTCTCAGCGATTTGTACACCGAGTACTTCTTCTAATCATCAATTTATAAAGTCACTTGCCCCGTATGTAATGAATTTTATATTGGAAAAACGTACCTACATTTTTGTAAAAGGACAGAAGAACATTTAAGTGATCAAGCAAAACTTTTCGGAATCTTTGAACCTACACTCGTAACACCGTCTCTTAACGCAACAAAATATAATACCCTCACACTAAGTGGAAAAGTGTCTAAAATGAAAAATTCTTCTGGCAACACTAGTTGCTCTTCACAACGAATAACGGAGTCACGTTGTATTACCCGATCACAAACAGACTGTTTACCTAGACTTCACACAATCTCAACCCTCGAACTAAGTATAATTAAGGAAACTGTTGAGCAACTCTGCTGTAAAAATAATAATAAAAGAAAATGTAACTCAGTTTATGTTGCAAAATCAGCTATCGGTAAGCACTACTCTAATACTGGACATGTGATTACAGGTAATAACTTTGAAATTGTTTTACGAGAAAAACAAAGGTATAAGTTGCTGGTTAAGGAATCGTTAGTCATTCAGGCTAGTTTACCCATGCTTAATGGTACTGATCGTTCGGTATCACTGTACGTGTATTCTGAAGGGGTAATATCAAATCTCTGGGATAGAAAAAAAATTCCTAGGAAAGGTGTTGCAAGTGTTGGAAAGGTGTTGGCTAGTACAGTATTATCTCTCTCATATACTTCAATTCAGTTTTTCTTCAGTAGGTTTTATCTTCACACAACTCAACACTAGCGTTTTAAAATTTCTTTTCGATTCAACCTATTCTTTATAAGAAAATAAAATGTACATGTAACAAAATTCTCCATTCATAATCTCGTTCTCTTTCTTTCTTCTCTTCTTGTTATGCACATGGATTTTCAGTCTTTTTTTGTGATGTGTGTGCCTAGATTAGAAAAACACTAGATATCTATACAATCAGTTATTTTTGTTTTCAACTTTATGTAACATCCTGTACGAGGAGAGACTTAAAAATGACCGTATTAATAGGTCGAAATATAGAATTATAATTTTAACGTTTTAGTCTTAATTGTTTAAATTTTTATTTTTATTATTTGATTAAAACTTTTTATTAAAATTCTTAACAGGATACGCATTGGTTTTAAAATTTTTATTCTTAACTTTGCCCATAAACTCGAAAAACGTTATGGAAGCTAGGCTATATTCTTCCTTTGTATGTATCAGATGATATTCATCTGTCAACAAATTACAGACCTACCACTCTACTTTCTGCTGTTTCGAAAGTTATTGAGCGACTCATCGTTAATCGTATTTTTCAATTTCTACTCACTAATCGACTTATAAATGTAAATCAATCAGGTTTTTTTGCCTAAACACTCAACAACAGCTCAGATTATTGATATAGATCATAATATTGTCTCAGCTTTCAATGAGAGGAATCTTGTTCTGGCTGTTTTTATTGCTTTTCAAAAGGCCTTCGACTGTGTCTCACACGAGGCGCTGTTTATAAAGTTGAATAGTAAAGGTTTACCTGTTTTATTGCTAGAATGGTTCAGGAGCTATCTTAGTGATAGGAGAATTATTACAATGATTGATGGTTTTTTTTCGCAGGAGACTGGTATAGGGTGTGGAGGTTCAATATTAGGCCCATTTTTATTGGTTATTGACGATCAGGGCTGGCGCGAGGCTTCTAAAATTGGGGGGGGTCCATAAAGTTTTTATGAATTTTCGGTATAAAACTTTTTTGCTATATACATCATAGCAGAAGAAAACATCGATGACATTTACTTGACATCAGAAAAATAAACAACTTTGAAAAACATCAGAAACGCAAAACAAGTATTTTTGTAAGAATATAGGGAAAAAAAGCAAAAACTGTTCAATTAAGTTTTATTCTTCTTGCTTTCATATTTTCAAATTTCGATTATTGGGGGGGGTTTTTGAGTCACTATAAGAGAAATCGTCCACCTGCATTAGTCCTAGACGATTCTCCTCTAGTCTACCTTGATAAAGTATCTCATCTGGGACTAGTATTAACTCCCAAATTAGACTGGACTTGCCACATAGATTACATTTTTGTTAAGTGTTCCAAAATTATAGATACTATGAAGTTGCTGAGTCATGTGATATCTCGAGAAGCCTTATGCTTAATCTACAATCCCTTTGTTTTCTCCATAATTAATTATATCAGCGTCGTTTATTCTGGTATCGCACAAACTAACTTGAGACGTATATCTGCTATCCAATATAATTCAGGCCTGGCAATTACTGGTGGGATAAGACTGTCTTCAACCACAAAAGCATTACCTGATCTTGGTTGGATTCCGACAGAAGAAACCTTTATTCAGCGACTTTTCTTATTTCATAAAATTAAGTTTGGCAAAGCATCCCCATCTCTTCAGTCTCTCATTCCAACTGATACTACATCACACATCTATTCACTAAGGAGTAGAAGTACAGGTGCTCAACAAATTCCAGGTCAACGCCGTGGATTGATGATATATGAAAACTCTTTCATCATAGCAACTTGCAAGGATCAACTTTCTCCTGCACCTAGATGTGAAGACAGATCTAATGAACTTCACTTTGCTCGTTTAAGAATTTGATTCTCTCAATTGAACGCTAACCTATTCAGGTACACCCTTATTTCTGATCCATCATTGCTTTATTGTTGAAATAATCTAGTGTGAAGTCGTACAAAGTATTTAGCGTTGTTATTAACGCTATTAACATTGAGTGAAGAGAAATAAAGACATGTAATACACTAGTAGCTTCATCCAGCGATAAAGTAGTTGGATTTTTGAGCAAAGAACGGGCTAGTGGAACATTCGTAAACCAGCAATCGCAGAATTCCTACATTTCAGACATTCTACAGAATTCTACATTTTCCCTATGAATTCTACAACTACTTCTTCATAGCTAAAACATGATAAGTCCGAGTAATTCTCAAAACAGAAATCTAGGAAATGTATAGAATTCTATAGAATTCTACCTTAGTACACATATAAGCCGAGTGGGAGACAAGCGGAAATGTATAGAATTCTACAGAATTCTATTACTGACTAGGAGTGGGGGCGGGGCGGGGGTGGCGTGCATGATAGTAAGTCACTAATCAACTATGTTCGTACTAACGCAGAATTCCATAGAATTCTATACATTTCCGCTAGGCTCAAACTTGGTCAGTAATAATTGTATCTCTACTAACGCAGAATTCTACAGAATTCTCACATATACAATATATTAGCCGAGTGGGAGACAAGCGGAAATGTATAGAATTCTATAGAATTCTAGCTGAGGAACTATGTCTATAATAACGTAGAATTCTATACATTTCCGCTTGCCTCCCACTCGGCTAATATATTGTATATGTGTAGTAAGGTAGAATTCTATAGAATTCTATACATTTCCGCTTAAGTCAAACTTGGTCAATAAAAAGTATATCGATGCTAACCTAGAATTTGCTAACCTAGAATTCTATAGAATTCTAGGTTAGCAACTATGTCGTACTAACGTAGAATTCTGTAGAATAGCTGAATTGCAGGAACTCTGACATCTCTCTTCGTAAACTGCGTCCAACCTCTTAGCGGAGCTTCAAGAAAAATGAATCACACCTGAGTGAATTAAATACCTAGGTTACTGCTCACTTCTTACCTGAGGCAATGTTTCGATAAAATGGTGAATATTCGCTTTAGTTTTTCTGCCTACCTAAGTTATTACAAGCCAAAATTTCTATTAACACCTAGTTTGAAGAAGACACTTTTCGTGTTCACTACCGAGTAACTACCACAGCTACGTGTGGACTGGACGGGGTTCATAGTCCAGCCCAGTCCATGCGGAGTGGATTGACAATTTCTTGAATTCATGGAGTCAGGCTGGACCAGATTCAAGTTTTCAAGGCCTTTGAAGCAAAGTAACAAAGAAAAGCGAAGGCCTTGGAAACTTACACTGCAAACCTGAAGAATATTTTTCGCCATTAAACTTCAAAACTATAAACTTCATCGTTCCACGGTACTCTTAAAGGATGTACGATAAGAATCACGTGTCTTTCCGTTTTCTACTCTTGAGGAATGAAAAATATACGTTATTTGAATCACACTTTTATAATACCTAACGAAAGAAAACGTGATTTCCATCGTTCATCTTTTATGAACGCAACATTTACAAAATAAACATTATCGGCGAATGCATACAATCTTATTTTCGGGTCAAACGATTGGACTTTAGTGGTAGACAAGACGCTAGACAAAACAAAGAAATAGCACTTCTTATTGTTTCAGTATTGAAATTGGCGATGTCACTGTAGGCATCTTTCAAAACTGTAGGGTATGAACTCTCTTCTCTTAGTAAAAGCAAAGCATAGATTTGACAGAGTTTTGCAACAATGGATTCATTGATTTCTCGGAAAAACAGAATCATAACTGCGTCAAGTAGTCTTCCCTCTAATTGGTTCCCACTCGACTTCTCAACTAGTGAAGATTACCACTTGAAAATCGACAAATATCACTGACTTTGTGTACAGAATTTATGAAGATAAACAAAAATATCAAAACTAAATGCACAGTCATGTTGTCATCTCTCATTTAACATTATAAATCGACTTAAAGTATGTCTTCTTCACAAGACAAGCTACGAGTTCAACAGGATCATGTTATAATAAACACCATGTTTTTTCAATAATTCCGCATGTCCTCCACTTTCAATAATGCGTCCATTTTTCACAACAAATATTAAATCACAGTTTTTTATCGTCTGCAAACGATGTGCGATAATTATACATGTTCGACTTTCTTGTGCACGTTCTAATGCCTCTTGTACGATCTATGTCAGATTAAGAAAAGACAAGCTATAATGCAAAAGGAAACGATAGATTTTCATTTTTACCTTTTCATTTTGATTATCCATTGCACTAGTAGCTTCATCCAGCAATAAAATAGTTGGATTTTTGAGCAAAGAACGGGCTATGGCAATCCGTTGTTTTTCGCCACCCGACATTTGCACACCTTTCATACCGACGTGTGTGTCGTAACCCTTAAAGAAAAATGAATCACATCTGAATGAATTAAATATCCGGGTTACTGTTCACTTCTTACCTGAGGTAATGTTTCGATAAAATGGTGTATATTCGCTTTAGTTGCTACATCAATAATTTCTTCCATGGGTATGTCCTGTCGAGAGTGATCACCATAAGCAATATTTTCTCTTATTGTGAGATCAAATAAAACGGGTTCTTGACTGACGATCCCTATTTTCGACCTTAACCACTGTAGATTTAGTTCACTTATCTCTTGGTCGTCTAGAAGCTACAAAACACATTCACTGCGTACACATAACAGATCAGCGACACATACACGCATTAACATACCAACTGGCCTCTCGTTACATTGTAAAATCGTTCAATTAATTGCACTGTTGTTGATTTACCGCAACCACTCTCACCTCAAGAAAAAGAAACCATACTCTTACTTGATCGACTAACGACAAAAAGCAAACGCCTACCAACAAGTGCAATCCGTTGACCTGAAACAAGCAAAAGTCAAAACTCGCCACACATGTCTCTGATACTGAATAGACTAACCTGGTTCTATGCGACAAGAAAATTTTCTCAGTATTGTTGCGCTCGGTCGCATAGGATATGCAAACTGAACATCGTCAAACTGAATTTTGCCGGTAAAATTTTCCTGTGCAGATTGGAATTTTATACATGAGAGCACGTATAGCAAGGTGCAATACATACTAAGTATTTTCCATCTGTTGAGCAATTGTCAATAATGGGTTTTCTTTCAAATAAATCAATGAAACTTTGAGCAGAATGAAGCGAACTACCAATTTCACTTGTCCTACGAATAACCCACATAATTAGTGGATGCACTTTTCACTGGACGTATGAAAAAGTGCTTCTCACTCTTTCCTTCCTACAGCAGCATATAAGTTGGTTATGTGAGACCAAATCTTTATCTGAGATCTCAATAGACATTCAGACGACACTACGTGTAGAGCGGAAACTTCTCATCGTTTTTGTTCACTCATTTAGTCGATGTTTTCTCATTGCACCTAGTCCATCTAAGTGCATTTACATAGCAGACTTCAAACATAGCTTCATACTCACAATGTAAATATCATTTGGATTGATTGAACGGCAAAAAATGCGATTCCAATCACTCTTAAAGAAAGTAAACAAATGATTTGTTTAATCCACGAATCACATGCACAACTATGATCCAGTGATCATGACAACACCAAACGAGTCTGGTGTAGGCGGCATCATCCGGAAATCGCCGTCGCCGCGGATTCTTATATGTTAAAGTGTTAAAGTGTAAAAGGATAAACGTGCATAATTGAGGGAGAAGAAGTGAGGATGAGCGTGGAACACTTCTTCACCCACTTCACTCTCACTTCTCCACCCTCACCCTCACTCGCCGCGAGTTCGTATATGTTAAAGTGTTAACGCTAAAGTGTTAACACTTTAACACTGAATCCGCGGCGACGGCGATTTCCGGATGTTATGTAGAAAAGTGTAGAATTTAACCTGCTTCATATTGAAAGCCATTAATTTTTTTAAAAAGTATGCCGTCAAGCATTTATACGCTAAATAGTATATGACTGTCGCGACTTTATTTACGGCGGCTCTCAAAACTATTGAACGAAGTTTATTTTCAGTTTTTCTCCTCAAAGATAACAGCTACAACAAGTGTGAAAAGATTTGAACAGCTTAAGGAAATTGCAATTCGGCGTATGGTAAATAATGATTCTACTACAGTTTCGGGGTTCAGGTTTCTGTAAAATCCAAATCCAAGAAAACCAGGTCCACGAATTCGAATGAAACCTTTTTCTAACAGTCTGTAAAAGAAACTATAATCTTTTTTATGTACGACTGTAGATCAAAAATCAAGATACCTGATCAACATTTGCCCAATACATTTACGAAGGCAACCATTTACAAATGGTGTATAAAGTATATTGGTTAACGGCAAATTAAATGAATGGTATAAACATGAACGATGTTGACGTACTGATTTGGTGGGTGCTACCAAGTATTTTGGAATTTAGACTGCCCATTTACATCTTCATCTCAAGATTTTTATATATCATTTTGTAGAAAGAGGTGAAACCTTGAAAATACTTCCAGTAAAGTTCATTTAACAAGGGAAGAGTTTTTTTTTACGAAAATGTTTTCGGGGGGCACTGAAAATGATTCTTAAGGTCTAAAATGGATTAGAGTTAATCACGGACAAAAATTGCATTAGATCGGTTAACTTAAGACTGGTTGGTGAGGTGGCCGATTTTGGCTCTTAGCGTCCCCCGTCCATTGTGTGCTTTTCTGTGGTCATAATGGACTTGCAGATGACCCTACGTCTTTTTCTGAGGGATGAATGTCAGAATGATTCGTTTCAAGAAATCAGATCAAGTCAAGTCATATAAATAGATTGTAATAATGAGAGCCTGGTCTGAACGAAAGAGAAGCAAATGATGCTATCACAATCCTCCTTTGGCAACATGAGCACTGAAAAAGAAAAAAAAGAAAAAAACAAAACTAGTAATAAAAAGTAAGGAAAAACTGATTTGTTAGCCTGTTTGCGGTAATGATAAAAACAGAAACGAACAACTGGCAATAATATTTTTCATAAGAAATAAAAAAACACAGCATGGAAAAGAGTTAAATTTATATTGAACCGATACCTCAAAGAAGTTTTAAACGCAGCAAGGGTTGGTAAAGATACTATGTTGCGAAGACTGTCCCTCGTCCTTTAGGTTCTCGCCAGTCCGCTGCTTTTTGAAGAAAGCCATGCACGAAGTATATCCATACAATTATGGAGGACTTCTCATAGTCTATCAGAATTTGGAGGTAATTATTCCATATGTCATCAACGACAAATTCGATCAAGAACTATGGATAGGAACTTCGATGACTTAATCGATGCAAGGTAAACTTCTCAAGTTATGATACTCTCGAAAAAGCAATAAATGAACTGTCAGTTTATTGTAAGATGGTGTCTGATAGAGTCCTGCCGTTATAATGCATTGCTATTATACCATTGTTCACTCGAATTTTAGCGGAAAGTGGCCTGGCTTATAATCATGGAATATATGGATATTTTTACTAGCAAGAAATAGAACTTCAGCTGTCTTCTATTGACTGGCTACTAAATATTTTAAGGAAGTGGAACAAATTACACACAGTACTAGTTACAATGTGTTGTCGATCCGTTTCATCGAAGCTAAGAATCAGCTTACAACATAACATTTTTTGGCTTGATTTCGTTGTGTTTAAGTAATACCATGGCTGCACCATACAAGGCAGCTAAAATGAACAGTGCCATTGGTGTTATTGTACTAAAAATAATAGCGGATAACTGCGCATGCTTCTTCGATGATCTAAAAATGAATGTTTTTGTCACAAATTGTTAAATTTACAGGATGCTCTCTCACGTGTATGCTTTAGTTATCATATATGAATATTGATCGCAAAAATCATCTTCTTTTGTCAGTTGCATAACAGTATGAATGTTGTTAATAGATTCATTCGCTAACTACGCATAAAGAGCAATTCTGAACGAATGTTTGTCATATCATTTTGATACTTACTTGACCAGCTTGCTCAATAATAAATTTATTTTTATTATTGAGTCTTGCCATTGAATAGATTTGGATATAACACAACACAAATGTCAATACGATAAATGCCAGCATGACAAGTGCCAACTGCCAACTAAACACAAATCCCAATGCCAATCCAATTCCAAGATTGGACAGCGTTTTGACAAAAACACCGATTTTAACACCCGTCACCTTTTGCACAGCAACAGCATCCGTAGACAAGCGTGTACACAAAGCGCCAGTGCTATTTTCTGGACGATCAAACCAAGCAACTTCTTGACGTAACATTGAATAAAATGCTTTCTCACGCACACGTTTTGTTAAAGTTGAGCCAGATAAAGACAAGAAAAGATTCTATAAATAGATTCCTGTGTTAGATCTGCGATTCACAATAAAAGAGATTTAACCTACCTCAGCAAATTTGGCAAGAAATGCGATAATACCGATTGCGGCTAATATCCAACAATAGATGATAATATGTTGCTTCTGCTCGTGGTAGTTACATTCTCCAAATACCTATCATCAGTTTAAAAAATCAATACATTTTCTTCGAAGCTTAGAATCGAACATCTCCCTGAGGGAAGAAGAAGAGTGCAGAAAACACTACTCGAACTCTCGATGTTACTCACTTCGATTACTTTACTCAGAATAACGCCAAATATTGGCGGTATTAAGCCATCAAAAACAGAAGCCAAAGAGCCAAACAAGATAAAGTACCATTCTGGACTATTCAATTTTAACAGTTTCACTAAGGGTGAATGTGTTCTCTAAACGAAAGATCTGACATAAAGCACTGCTGCCTCAATATACTATTTTCTTCCATGGATACGAACACTATTTTTCAGATCTTTGTCAGTATCGGACATATCCGCTTCTACAGCACTTGACATTCTACGCATTTTTTCCTCATCTAGAACAGAGAATAAGTCTCATAGATATAATGCATGAACGTGATCTATTTTGATCTTTAACGAACTTTGAATTTCATCAGAATTTTCAGGTTGCTCCTCCGCATGTTGAATACTTTGTGTTTGAACTAGTTCATAGTAATATCCCTGCTTCTCCATTAATGTATCATGAGTCCCTTGTTCAACGATCTTACCCTTGTCAATCGCATAAATTCTATCCGCTTGTCTTATTGTACTCAAACGATGAGCAATAATGAGTGTTGTTCGGCCTTAAAGTCAATTAGATTAACAAGTATAGCATGCAGAAGACTCCTCATGAGGCTATTTTAGATTGATCGTTTTGGTAGCCGGCTAAACGGTTCGTCACAGCTCATGGCGATCAAACAAAATCGCACTTAATCGCCATGTAATATAACTGTCTCTATTAGTTGATAAATCGATGGCTGATCGATCGAAACTCTTCTTTTGCTCGCAATTTTAGTAAAACAGCGATTAAATGCTCACCAAACAAATAAAGGACTACCCGATCGTTGATCATTATCGCGTTTTTACAGGATGAAATTGCGATTCATTCTGAGTCCGGATTCTTGTCCGATCAGTATTTTTAGCGGTTGAAATTCAGATCGAGTTTGATTGAGACTAAGAAATAGATCATATTTAGCCGAATGTACTGCTCACTCGAGTTTAGTCGTGTTCGATTAGAAATCGCGATTCTATCGATAAAATCCCGATTATTTTTGGATGGCAATACATGTGATTTCGTTTTAAATGCGATTACTCAAGATGTGTTCTATTTAGCGAACAGCTGCAATTTATCTCAGTTAGAAACACGGTCATCTACAATCGCGAAGTTTTATTTATGCCGAACAGTTGCGATCATTCAAGAAATTCTTTAAATTGACATTTATAATCATGACATTAATCGGTATTAAATAAAAATTGTGACAATTGGGATTAGTTACGAACCGAGATTAATCGTGATGAAATCACATTTCATCACGATTAATTGGGATTAGCGGACTCATGCTCAATCGTGACTAGTTAACTTAAGGGCCTCCCTCGGAAAACAACTTTTTTGTCTTACAATCGATTTTGATCAAACTTTCAGCAAATGTTGCACACTCAAAGATGTGATCCCAATATTTTTTTACTCTTTATCTGTTACCGTTCCGGAGTTTTCTAGAGTCCAAGGCCGAAAATCACCCTTCACTGTAAATCCTTTTTCCTTAATACAGTCAAGATAGAGACCTCGGGTCGGTTTTATTTTAAACCAGACACATAATTGGGAGAACTGTGAGCCCCAGATTTTAATTAGGCCTTTGTTGGTTCTCTAGACACGCAAGATCCTAAAAAATCCTGAAAGATCCTTTCAAGTTTTCCAAAGGAACTACGGCCTAATTAAAAAATCGGCTCCCATGAGTCCTCGCAGAATTTTACGCTCCTTCGATTAAAAAGAAAAATTTCTCCCTTTGATGAACCATTATTAAGAAAAGGGATCTACAGTAGACGAGGTTAGACAAAAACGTGTTTTGAGAGAAAACGCTGTGCATTAGCTGGTCTGGTTTAGGCATGCAGAAAAATGTTTGTAATTTTTGAATGCAAGATCATACAGAGTTTTACAATGTCTTATTTTGATCAAAAAAGTCTGCTCTACAAATCTACGTATTAAGAAAAAAATTACTTGCTTAAGTGTCTAGAAAAATTAGTATTTGAGGATCCTGACTTTCAAGGCTTCTAGAAAACCACGAAAAATCAGTTCTAGGCCCAAGACCGTTACAGATTCTGAAAGTAGATATTCAGACTATCTTTCCACGTGCTTGTCTCAAGATTAATTTTTGATACAGAAAGATTCCATTCTGAGAGGGAACCCTTAATTAATTAACTAGAAATGTTTCCTTCTTCTCCTTTTGTCCTACATCCATGGGACCCCTGTTTCTCTAATAAGCTCAGGGTCTCCTTTCGCGGAGGTCTGATGGGATCCAACAAGAACTCCGTTCCCGAGACTCGGGTCTCACGCGCGGAATTTTTCTCCAAGGCGCCTTACGGCTGTCCCTGGTCTGCTGAAGACTGGCTACTTCGCTTCTCAGAGTCGTTTAAGACTCTAGGATAACTGAAGAAGTAAACTTATAACTTAAATGAAGTTATTTGCTATATAAACTCACTATCTATACAGTATGTATATACAACAAATTCTTTGCAAAAGTTCTGTAATACAAATGAGTCATCGATTAGTCCATAACCAATCCATGATTCACCGATCAATCAGCTGAGCTTTTGCCCTTGCGATAATCAGTCGGTCAACTCAAGAGGTCTCCTTTCGATTCATCCCTTCCCATGTACTAAAACTCGCATAAAAATCGGCAATTAATCGTAAAAAACCAAATGATCAATCGCGCGCTTAATCGTGATTAATTGAAGAACTTAAATGGAGTTCCGATGATATCAAACTTTATCGCGTTCTCCTAGCGTCCAGTTCTGACAACTGTTCCAGCCACTACTCCTCGAAGAAAGATTTTATTAGCGAACCATAGTGAATACAGGTGAAGCCGCGATGTTACCGTACAAAAAAGCGATTGAAGTCGTAGTCTAGATTATCGACTGATCGGAGCTGCTTTTCAGTTGCAATTGTACACTACAAAATAGCGATCTGTTTTCAATCGCCATGAATAGTGACGGGCCCACTAAACGATCATGGTCCGACAATGGCGATTGCTATGATCGAAACCGCTTATTGAGCGTTATTACTATCGATTAACTAAATCTCAATGGGTAAAAAAATCCCTATGAGCCATATCACTTCACTGTGTGTATCCGCATGTTTGGTTAATAGCAAAATAATAGAGATATTTGTAAAGGACACCAACGCCCAATCGAACCCTCATCTGAGGCACCTGGAATGAAATACTATCAGCAACAGCCACCAACACTTCACGAACACCCAACTGGAAGGGTATTTGCACTCGTTAACTCTCTTCAGAGTATTTAGGAAACTGAATTACGTATGACAAGGTAATCGCACATCATATTCAGAGTATACACTCTTGATCGCATACTTCGATAGGGAGCTCAAAACGGTAAGTCAAATTATTCTTTATCGACGCCAAACTCCACGACATACGATCCAATGTGAGTTTAAAGCTGCAAGTGCGATTAGAAAGCGATACAAAAGTGTGCGTTACACACTCAAATGTTGTCTAGATCTAACCATTTCGTCGTAGAGAAGAATGTATCGCGATTAAACCCTGGCATAAATGCGCGTTTAGTTTTTCTTCTAGAGTAAGCTGAAAAAACATATGATGTCTGCTGTGATAAAATATTCAAATTCGAGGTATAGGAAAAGGGCAGATATAAATCACATTTCAACATCTGTCGTGGAGTATGGTATCGACAACAAAAAATTTTGATTTACCCTTTTGAGCTCCCTATCCAAGTATGCGATCAGGAATGTATGCTCTGAGTATCATATCAAAATACATTATTATAAGCCATTCAGTCTCCTAAATACTTTGGAGAGCGTCACCGAGCCCAAATACCCTTCCGGGTGCGTTGTCGTGAAGTGCTCTGGCTACTGTTGATAGTACTTCATTCCAAATGCCTCGGGTTCAGGTTCGATTGGGTCTTTGTTGTCTTCGGCGTTGGTGTCTTTTACAAATACCCAAACAATAGACTCAAACATACCCTTGCACGCACGATCTAATGCATCTTGTACAATCTTTTCATTTCTACTGTCTTGATTTTATTCACAAATCCGGTAGACAAAAATGTGCAAAGACATTGCCTTTCTTGTCTCAGTTTATTGTTCGTGTGATATTTGTACATGGAAATAAAGCTGATGTAGCTTCATCCAATAATAGTATTTTGGGCTGTTTCACTAGAGCACGTGCAATACAGATTCGCTGCTTCTCTCCTCCTGACAATTGTACGCCCCTTTCACCAACCAGTGTGTCATATTTCTAAAATTATGATAAAGCAGAGAAATACCAGCTAGTGTAGTCTAAGTTAATAATCCTACATTAGGTAATTTCATGATAAAATCATGTGCATTTGCTTGCTTTGCTGCTTCATAAATTTCTTCGACAGATACAGTTTGATTTGGTGTGCCGTATTTAATATTTTCATAAATTGTTGTATGAAAAAGTACCTTAAACATATTAATCAACCAATAGTCGAGACATCGTCACATGCTACTGTAGGTCATACCGGTTCTTGATTGACTACACCTATATTCTGTCTCAACCATTTCACATTTAGTTGTTCAATAGATTTATCGTCAATTCTTATACAGTTTGCCACTGCTAGATCGTAAAATCGTAGCAATAATTGTATGCACGTGCTTTTACCTAGTTAATGGAATAGTCTATCAGCAGACAGGTAGGTGAGAATCTACTGCCACTTACCACATCCACTATGACCAACTAGTGCAATAGTTTCACCTGGATAGGCAACAAAACTTAGTTTATCAATTATTTTTATACTTGACCGTGTTGAGTAAGAAAACTCAACATTATCAAACTCAATTTTGCCCACCAACTTCACCTCATTCTTTCCAATATCCACTGATTTCGTGTAGCAGTTTGGCTATAAAGAAGTACGAGCGAAACTCAATTTTGATGTATTGGAAATGTATAAAATGGAAGATGATATTGCAGTGCGATCAACAAACTAATCTCTTACTTCATCAATCAGTTGCCATATTCTCAATGCAGCCCCACGTGCTTCTGCAAAGGCTTGTAAAGCATAACTAACGTTACTGAGAAATGAGACACCATACGAAACAGACGTGAGGACCTTTAAAATACGATATACGTATATCTGATACCATTAGATTGATAATGTTGTATACTCACAACCACAACGTCACCAGTAGAGAGGCTTTTGTCACCATTAACAAATATCATACCAAACCAAAAGCCGGGCACATAAGTCCAATACAACAACATCAGTTGAAAACCGGTAAAGACACCGAGCACAATGCCTCTCTTGATACCATATAATCTAGTTTCCTCCAAATGTTTTTCATACCTAAAAGTATAGAATTAGCTTGTATTTCGTTCACACTGAAGATCTTCTGAAGCGCAACTGGGTCCTTCTGATGCCCTTCAGTCTCACAGAAAATAAAAGCATTTGTTTTGAAAAGACTCTCATATAGGTCTGATAACACAAAACGGGTTTCTTCACCGCTTTTGCTCAAATTGCGAGCCATTATATGCCAGAACTGTTCGTAGTGAACTAAACACTTCTTGAGCAATATTGTTCGACTTTGAATAAGAATTCAATTCTTGTGTTGTTATTTTACTAGTTAACTAAACGAAAAACGGTAATTTGAGTACACTGTCAACACCCTAACATTCTAACTGACTCTTAAAAACATATTGGTACCAATAGCCATTATTAATATAAGGGGCATGACAATTAACGTTAATTTCCAGCTAGTAATTAGTGCAACTACACAACTGGTAATGCCGACTGTCACTAATGATATAGGTAATCCTAAATTGTCCCCGCTAATTCCGTCCACAATTTTTTCAACATCTCTACGAAAACTAAAAGTGTTTCACAGAAATAAACAAAGTCCTGTACGTACTCTGTTAATCTTGAACTGAGTTCTCCCGTTTTATGTGTTTCGAAATATGTAATATTCTACAACATACACAGAAGTTGACCCTATGAATTGAAAATGAACAGACAATTCTTCTTACGCGTTTCATAACAGTGCGAAATAATATTTCACGTATACGATTTGTTTGCTTTTTCCCCGAAATATCGAGAAATATAAATTGAAGATACGCAAGTAATATACTAAGCACACCAAGTCCTTCAAAGAACAGATTGCAGTTTTAATATCATAGTATTCAACAAAATGTCGATTGACAAGCGGCTGAACCGTGTCTTCTAGTGTGTGTAAGGTATTTACCTACTAATTGTAACACTTTTGAATAAACTTCGTGTGTGAGATCTGTTTTATAATCGGTAACATTGAAAAGATGAATGGCACAATAGCTGTAAAACAGAAATTTAAAACATGAGAAACCTTCCATTGAGAACGCGTCGATATTTACTGCTGATAGGATTCAAAATTGAATGGATGTAGCGTTACACCGACTGGGCAATATTCACTAAGTTCATTAAAATTTAAATGACAAAGAGAAGATGTATGAGTAGCTAATGAGCCGGCTAAACGTCCGAATATAACTAAAAACATTGAAAAACAGACACCGCGTAGTATAGACGCATAAACTGCCAGTATAATTAAGGTAACATCTGAACGATTAGCAAACCGAAACTAAACAAAAGATTAAGTTTCTTGATTGAAAGATGAATAAAATAATTGATTGCACGACCTTACCAAATTCAAAATACTGACATCTTGCTGCTGATTTTTACCATTGTCTCCTTCTTCGATGTCATCAAGAGTTTCATATCGATTTGAAGAGAGAAAGCGAATTAATCGCTGAACTCTAAAGAAAAGGAAAGAGCTTTGAAGAACTACACACTCATATCCTGGTGGTAAAAACCGAATATCCACCCCTTCTTAAGAAGATTAGACGCCGTCTGTCTCTTCACGACACAAGCCTTCGAAAGCAGAAGTGCACTAAACCGTTGCAGAATATTCCTATTTTATTTAATGGTCAACATCAAACTCAAACTAGATTAATAGTTCAGTACATCTGTTCGATGGGAAAGATACATTATTTAAGCGTTAATAACATTAATAGTCATATTCAATAAAACTACCATCGTATTGCAATTAACAACGAGATCTCCTTCTCTCCACATCAGGTTTGAGAGAGAGAGCGGATTGGTTATTGATCTAAGTTTAACTTTAAGGTAAGCCGCACGCCTGAGGATTAACATCAAGGATACTCAAGGACCAAACTGTTGCAGGATATTCCTAGTTCATCTGAAGGTCGACGTCAAACCCGAACCAAACTAGTAGTTCCATCTAGACGATACATAAAATATGCTGCTGAGTGCTTCAACCGCGGTAGAGGTGTGCAAGACACCCTTATCCTACTCTACTCTCCAGAGTGGAATAAGGCTTCGTTTGACAAATCTGGATGAATTATATTCTAGGCACTAGGTATGCAACGATAACGAAATATTATCGGTTTATTGTACCTTACCGATAATCGCCTCTTATCGATTATTGTTATTGCTAATCGTTGTCGGCATTATCGGTCAAACTACGATAAATACGATATAATTAGCCGAGTTTACAAAACAATCAAAACGTAAGCCAAACCTGCGGTCAGAGTAGGGCGATGCTTCTGTTTACAGATTCTCTACACAATTCTCATTTCTTCTGTGCACTATAGTGACTTGGAGGTGCTACTTTAGTTTTAAACATTTGAATAAAAACGTTTCAAATGAATTTTCTTTCTCAAAAGAGCATTTCTAAAATTTGAGTTTGGTAGATCTGAGACTAGAAATTCGACTTTCTGAAGTTTATCTGATGGAGTTGGATTTCTAGAAGCCGATCTTTCGGCTGAAAAATAGCTTTTAAAGTTTTTCGTTAGAAAGAGCGATTTGTATGAACTTGAGAGCAGCACGAGAAAAAGAAGGAAAATTAAATTCTACAAAGTTGTCTTTAGACTCTGTTCAAAAAAAATAATTTCTTCATAACGGAAAACCGACTTTTCTTTTTACTCACCCTGTACAAAGTGTATTTCCAAGTTGAGTCTAGAGATAACCTTGTAGAAAATATGATTTCCTAATTTTTATCAGCTGCTATACTAGACTTTGTATGACTCGATCTTTCGAATGAAAAATAGTAAAAACTAGTTTTAACTCTAAAAACCGGCTTCTAAAAATGCGATTCCAGCAAGTGACATTTACAAACTTGCATTTTCATTGTAAAATGTAGCAGACTCAAGCTTCAGAAATGCTCTCGTGTAGGAGAAAATACAATTTAAGCGTTTTTCAATTTCAAATATTTTAAGTTTAAATAGTAACTGGTAGCTAATAAAATGAAGACATGAGTCGAAACGCTCTGAGTAGGAGTCTGCACTTGTTATCGACGCAGCTTCGCCTGATTTTAGGTTTCTTTGAGGCTTTACGAATTTTATCTGCTTTGTCGTATTTTGACCGATAAATACGATAATGATTATCGTTACCCTTGCATGCCTGCCCTATTAGATACGACGCTCAAGTCAGTTGTGAGCGATACTAAGAAAAATGATGATTTCATCTACAATTTATATGAAAAAAATAAAATAAATGATCGTCATACAAAAATGTCAAAATTTTCGAAGAGTAGGGCAAAGTCTTTAGGATAACCTCAAACCACAGGCAAAATAGGGCCAGGACTCCAGCGTCACAGTATAGGATGAGGAGAGGGTACAAAACATTTTCGCATGTGATGCCAGGGATAAAGGAACAGCTACCCTAAACATGTCTGATCCGTGTCATATAATGTTTCATGTATCAAAAACAACTGATGATTACTACATACTAAGTATAGAATCGGAAAACGCATCAGTTTCAACAGACGTTTTTCGATTCCGTTTTCCTCACCCTTTGACGAACAGTTATTAAAACTTGCGAAGGAAATAACTGTCTTGAGGTTGGTTCAAGATACGTTCGTGGTAAACGTATGATGCATACGATAGAATTATATAAGTTTTGCGAGTGATTAGTCTGATTAGAATTAGAGCGTGTAAATGTGTGCGCATTATTTTAAGTGATGCAAAGCATCTACTACAACCGTGAACGAGAGACCGTAAAAAGATAATGTAGAAGAAAAACCGTGAAGCGATAAACGCGTACGGAATATCCGCAGGAAAAAACAACAGAAAGCTAACAAATAGCAGATATTTCTTTTCGTGCAAAATACATCTTGCGCAGACATTGTCTACATCTGACTAGAACAGAACAAAGCAGATATAACTCGATCGATGAAAGGACATAAGAAAAGGAGATAATCGCCATGCGAAAAGAGGTATTGTCTTCTTTGCTAGGTTCCTACTAGAA